GCGAAAGCAGCTTGCAAGACTTGTATTTCCCAATTTCGTCAGGGATCCCACAAACCACCTCCCCCGAAGGTTAGGGGCTAATTGATAAGCCTCGCTAGGCGACAACAAGGCCAAACAAGGCCAAATAAGGCCAAATAAGGCAAAACCAAGGCCAAAGGGGGGGGGATTTGGGGGTGGTCTGTCGGGTCCCTGATTCCAAGGTTGTCCGTCTGTGACTCACTTCCTGGGGGTGACCACAACAACTCCAAACTTGCTCCACTGCACTGGCCATAAGTATAAAGTCCAGGAACTCAGGGAGTGAGGTGAACATCAGAAGCTGTGCCGAGCGAGAATCCTGCAACGCACCCACCGCGGAGGCAATGGAATCCACTTTGCCGTCGATGGTGCCGGTGGACACGTCCAAGTCCTTGTTCAGCTTGGCGATGATATCCTTCCTGAGTTTTGGAAGGGTTGCGTATACTCCTTAGGCAATGTCTCTGTCCCCAAACCACTACAGGGACCCAGGGGAAAACCGGGTACGATCCCTTCAGCGTGGCTGGATAGTGGTTGTATCTGGGTCCCGGTACCGGTAGTGGCCTGAGGGTTTTGTAAACCATCATTTCCTTGAAAAGCCCCAGCATTGCGTGAATTAAAATGGGGCCCTAGCTCTTGATGACCCAACATAGGGGGGTAGGTCCGGGACTGGCGAAGATTTCCCAGAATAGGATCCGTGAAGCCGGGCATACTGTAGTTCACTTGCCCGAAGGACCTGAAAATAGGAGGTTGTCCGTTGATGGCAAATGAGTACATTTCCCCTGCAATCCTTATCACATCCAAAGGGAACTTCGTCGAAATTGGCAACCAAAGGGCAGGGTGGTCCGTTTGCCGCCTTTTGTGGGGACCAGCTTGGCAAAAGAAACCGAATCACTTTAAGAAGCGATTCCTCCATAAGGGCGTCTTGCAAGGGCAGGGCTGTGCCAAATGGTGATGTTGCAACCACCCGAGGGAAATCCAAGAAACCAGGTCCAATCCGCCCCTGAATTCAATCAAAGGTGACTACCCATTCCAATGAGAATGGTATTCCAAAAGTGACTCTCGAGTGCAAGAAGGGGCGTGAGACAACTTCGTTGCCACCTGTGTGCAACAAATAGGGTTGTAAACCAGTAAACCCCAGTCAGGAGGTTTATAACCTGATTTGTAACATCATTCGGCAACCATGGAGGGTGGGTGCACCCAAATCCAACGTTCTACTCATCGAATCCACGCTGGAAGTCCACGAGTGCCCCGCCCCCGCCCCCCCAGAAATCCTTAAAGAATACATGTGTATATATATATACACCCTCATCTTCAACGTTGAAGCTTAAGTTCGGAATTTAGAAGGACTGTGTTTAAGTAACAAGTGCCATGATTACCCAAATACAGTGTTTACTCGCATCCCATCCACTTAGTTTCCTGAATTGTCAGCTTTATCATGGCTTTGGAGCCATCATTTGTATCTGCAGCAGGTTTTCCAGCAAGGCTCCATGATTTGAAGGACACTCCTCACGAGTTTGTTGGTCTGAGGATGGTTCCTTAATTCCTCATTGTAGACCATCACCCTCAGGGTTTTTGAAATTTAGTCGGGAACTGGAAGGCCGAAGCCCGGGCTGCTTGACGGGAAGACTTTGTTGCTGACCTAGCAGCGGCATTATTATGTGTGGTAGGGCCATAGTACTTTTTGGTGGAGTCTAATCTGAAGCCCCCAAAACAGCACGAGTGAATTTTCGTAAAATACCCGTGAAATTTGCGTGAAATGCGTTCTTTACCCGTTAGATACCATGTTTACCCGTGAAGTTTTCCTCACCAACACTTGGGTGCCAATTTTGCGATTTCCGAAGGCAGCGATCGCGCTGTAAATGCTCAATTTCAAGACCCAAGCACGGAATGCAGCTGCCTGATAGCTGGCGATAGGGTTTGCCTCTTGAGGCATGGCTACTTCTTGATTTGAAGCTTGGGTTGGAGTATATTTCATAGATGCTTGACTTCTCAAGAGCCTAGTTTGGATCTTGCCATCCCAGCGGTATATATTTGTTTAATCGCAACATCAAACTTGGCCTCTGGAAGGTTCAATTCACCTAAGATCTGATGTGTTTGAGGGCGACATGTGCGGATCCCATTGCAAAAATGGCTTGGAGTATGAGTAGTAAACATCGTGTATAAACAAATGACATGTTTACATAGGTATTTGGATGAAATACTATAGTAAACATCAAAGTGGGAATTTGAGGGTATATATAGAGAGAGACAGAACATATATACATACTTATATATGGTCACCCCCAAGATCCAAACCCAATACGTTGCGTGCCAAACATGCTGCAAAAAAAACAGTGGTTTCAAAAGCAGTAAGTTTCACATGCGGACCCTCAAATCATGATCAGAAATCACATGCAGAATGGAATTCATCGTTTGCAAAGCAAATGACTTGCTCTTTTGTTACTAAGTCCTCCAGTAGAGAGCTTAGAATAAGGGTACCCTTTTTCTGTAGTCCATTTTAGTAGGGGAACCCTCCCAACCAAAACAGGGGTGAGAAAGGGCACTACTGGGGAACCCAAAGGTGCTCTACAAATGTTCGCAGGCCTTGGCCAAGAGTCAGCTGCGTGTCCAGGTCCCCCGTCTTCACGTTCACCTTCCCGCCAGGCGTAGCATTGTCTTAAGATAGGGGGAAGCCCCGAAACTTCCATGCGAATACGCCCCCTGGAAAAATAAACAGAAATCCAGTAGTGGTAGATTCCCCTTAAAACCAACAGGGGAAGTATAACATATTCCTAAGCAAATGGAAGGAGAACAAGGTTTCCTCTTGGCTTTCGAACCCTGTGAATTCACCACAACAAGTGTATGCTCGAAAAGACAAGCCCAATGACAAGTCGGCACAAAATGCAAGACTATCCATTGCCTTATGGGGGCACTGCGGCCCTGTTGAGAGAATCAGGGATAATGGCAAAGTTCAGGCGCCGTACACCAAAAATTGATTTTCTGATTTTTCACACTTGCTCCACCCTAAGGCAACTAATTTTGGCGACCCCCTAAACATTTTCCCACCCGCTTTTTTTGGTGCGGGTGATCGCTAAATGGTTGGTAACCCTACCTTCACTTGAGGGTTTACAAGGGTTAGCTGGGGGCGAAAGGGGGCCACAGCTACCACTTGACTCCCAGACCGACTAAGGCAAAGGCAAATTGAACTAGGTCGTGTACTCTGGGGGCAATCAACCAGAATGGGGGATGCACTCAAAAAAACAGCTGTATTGAAACAAGAATAGGCCTTCAGAATGGGCGCCTCTTAAAAAGGGGAACCCCAAAACCGTGGTGTTCCCATTGGCTTCCATTTCAAGCCAGAAAAGGGTCACCGCCTGAATTCGTTGGGGGGGGGGTTGGTTCTATGTCTTCGCCTTCCCTGTTCCTTATTGGCATCCCTAAAACAGGTTGGGAAACTACTTGGCTTCCCCACCCAACACTTCCCTTTTCACACCCAAAACTCACCTTTACCACACCCAAAACTTCCCTTAACGGTTCAGTTTGTTTGAGCCCGAGCAGTTTTGAAAAAAGGATTCCACGCCTGATCGCCCACCTTCACATCGAGGTTCATGATCTCGTCGCTGATGGCATCAAAGCGGCCTCAGCGCTCGCGAGTGCGCTCGCTGCGATGTGGCTTGGGTTGAGCCGGTGGCGCTGCATGGTTTCGTCGGGTTATGAACCTCCTGAACTGGGCTTCCTTGGTTTATATCTCTATACTTATAACCAAAGCAGAGGCGGCAAAAATGAGGAACAAAGGGCGGTTTTGAAGGGAAGCCCACTGAGAAGAAAAGGAAACTCAATTCCGAACAAAACAAAAAACATTCATTGGTTGCCACAAAAAAATATGCATTCAAATATCAAATCTGAGCCCAACCCAAAGCCCATCTCAGGAAGTCAGAAAAATCCGCAGCGGAACATGGAACCTCCTGGAACCTGACAAGTCAGTTGGCCAATCAACAGCAATCTACCAGTATCCAAGTCACCCCCCAAGCGGTAGGTCCAATCAGCGAGATCCTCTAAGGTCATGGAAGATCAAAACTACCCATTCACGAAGACCACGGAGCTGGCCGCTAGGGAAAAAGGCCGGAGCAATCGAAATCCACGAGGGCGAGCATCCGGGGATGTAGCCCCGTGAGGCTTCAAGCAAGGGCTCTCGAAGCCTCTGGGCACACGCGAGAGGCCTGTAAACTGAAGGCCTATGGTTTTGACACACAGCCATGTGGATGTGTTCTGTCCATTCGGGCTCCTTTGGACATCAGAATTTGGCGAGCTTCCTCACGTCCGCCAACCCACTTTGGGCGGGTTCCCCGAGAAAAACAAAAAAACTCATTGCCAGGAGTCAATGTTGCACACTACAAGGCCCCGCCCTTGGCCCACATCTGGGGTACAAACAAGAAAAACATTGTCAAGAAAAACACTGTCTGATTCTGTTTCATGCTGCACAGGGTCTCCTCCAAACACTGTCTATATATATATATATACAGTACATATTGGGGTTGACTAGAAAAGAATCGCATAGTCTACCCTAAGATTTAACATATAATAACATATATGTTTTGGAGGAGACCTTGCCTCCTACACAGAGCCCCAGAAACTCCTTGGCTAAGCCAGACGCCCTCAGGGTCGATCCAAAGACCCGATCGCAAGGTAGAATGTTGATTCCTGAAACGAAAGGACACCAAACCAGTTTTCTATGCTTGGGGTTCATCTTGAGACACAGGGCTGGGCCAACCTCTTTCAAAATATGACCAGTATTGCTTGAACAGCTCACTGACTGGGTGTTTCTCAAAATAGGGGTCCCCTAAAATGGTTGGTTTCCCTTGACTTCCCTTTGAGTACCAACTTAACGGAGGTCGACCATTTGGAGAAACTCCATTTGTGGTCTTCCTTTGAAGGCCCGTTTGTTTGAACCGATTTAGCCCAGAACGGGTCGGAGCAACCCATACTGCCGCAAGGGGGCCGAACATGCTGCCTTCCAGCACCCCCATCTTGCCCAACACCTGGGCGATGTAGAAATCGAACATCTCCTAAGCGCACGGCCGGGTGACATGTGGTTGTCAAAACCGTTTTGGGATCCCATTTGGGATTGGGTGTTCACTGGGGGTACAGGGGTTTGACCCATGGCCATGTGCATCACCCACTTTTCCCGGATACCGAAGTGGGCCATCTTAACCGCTACTTTATCACTAAGACCCGAGTGTCCAGAACCAGAGCTCAGTGCCCGCCCGCTGCTTTTCCTTTACAAGGGAGTGTCCTACAGGGCTGGATCCGCAAAAGCTGCATAAAGACAGCGGTCAAAATTGAGGATCATGGAGATTCCAGACTAGCCCACCACTGCCCCGGAAAACCCATGAAGAACCCGCTCCTGGCAAAGGCCTTACTCAGGGGCTTTCCACAAAGGCTAGGACTGGGCATGCTCCTTGAAATAGGAACCAAAATCCCTCTCACCCTCTGAGCTCTCTCAAAAGGGCGCTTAGTGAAGGTAAACATCAACAAATGAACAGGGCGGGGGTCCTTTGAACCCCATTTGCAGGCTCCTTCGTCTCCAGTCTTGCCTTCGCATCGGGACTCGGCCGCAAAAGCACTTCGGTCCCGCATCGGACACCCGATTAGCCAAGCTGGGGTCTGTGAATCCTGGGTTGACATATTACAGTAGGTTGTTGGAAAAAGCTTCACTATCAACAACTCCAAGAAAAGTCAACTCTCTCGCTCTCTCTCTCTCTCTCTCTCTCTCTCTTTCTTTCCTTCCTTTATTGTCTTTGCTTATTTATTTATTTTCTTTCTTTCTTGTCGTTCTTTTATTTCTTTCTTTATTCATTTATATTGTCTTTCTTTCTTGATTTCCTTCTTTATTTCTTTCTTTCTTTATTTATTTCTTTCTTTCTTTCTTTCTTTCTTTCTTTCTTTCTTTCTTTCTTTCTCTCTCTCTCTCTCTCCCTCTCTGACTCTCTCTATAGCTCTCTCTCTATCTCGCTCTCTCTTTCTCTCGCTCCATATCGCTTCCTCTCGGTATCTCCACACACAGATACTGTCGCATGCATCTCACATATGAGCCACGGTCGAAGTTACTTGTTTCCCCAAGAGGAGACTGCCCCTGCTTTTGTTTCGTGAAATGTAGGAGTCCGCATGTCATGAGGACTTCCAAAGGGACCATGGACTACTGGTAGTTTTGTCCGAACCTGATATGCCCCTCTCTGAAAACCAGTCGCTCTCGCACGGGTGATTGCGACATAAAAGTTACAGAAGTCAAAGAAGGATGACTATAGATTTAACTTCATTAATAGGGAGCGGGATGGGGTCAGATCCCAGCCCGAATTTCCTAAGCGCTCCTTAGTGGTCAGCTTGATCTTCTCGTACATGTTCCCCAGCGTGTCCAGGATGGACTGGTCCCCCTTTCTCACCGCATCCTCGATGCAGTAGAGGTCGCAGTAGATCCGCTGCAGGCCTTCCCCCCACCCGGCCGGGTCTTTGGGGTGGGCCCCTGAGATGCATAGAAACCAGAACCAAAAGGTCAAGCTGCACGCAAACCAGACAAAACCGCCCATGCGGTACATAGAAGCGATGCTCCCCACCAATTTAACGGAAGGAACCCCCAAAAGGGGTCCATTTCCCATTTCCCCCATGGCTCCATGGGGCAAGAAATCGAAAATCGCGGCAACGCGAACCCTCACCGGAGCATTGAGCACATGTGCCAGGGTCAAAACTCCATTTTTCACGCCCATGGTCATGGTTCCCTTCTGGTTGTAAATGGATGACCATCCCTGTCAACCCCAAGTAAAGGGGTCTTTTGACCATCGCACACAGAACAGAACCCATTTCTTTCTGAACACTCCTACTTCCAAATTCGCCCGAACACAGCGACCAAAATGAGAAACACATCCCATCCACACTTTCCTTGGAACTATGGCAATCGCATTTTCCAGAGTCTTCTTTTTTCTTTTCCTCCAGAGAGGCTTGAATAAGGGTGCCCTTTTTCTGCAGTCCGTTTTAGGGGAACCCTAACCCAAAAAGTTGGTGAGAAAGAGATGGCACTTAGCTTGGGGGACCCAGTATCATTTGGCCTACCCTTAAATTGGACCCATTTGGCCCACCTTAAATTCATTCTGGAGACCCCCGGCTTGGGCTACTCCAACTCGGCTCGGGTCCCGAGCCGCGAGCTCCCGCCAGCTCCCGCCAGCTCCCGCCTTCCTGGAGCGGGTTGCAGTCTGCGGCATCGTTGGCGGCGAACTTGTAGGTCCAGCCAGCCTGGTCCTCGGTCAACTGGGTATCTCCCATTTGCGTTTTGGGCCCCCTGAAAAAAATAAAATGTCCAGTAGTGATAGATTCCCTTTAAAACCAACAGGGGAAAATCATTTTAAAAATATTCAAAAGGAAATGGAAACTGCCAACTGGTCCCCGAAGTTGGTTGGTTTCCTCTTGGCCTCCCTGAACAAATACTAAAAAAAGCTCCGCCTCTTTGGGGGGAAAAACAACTTCTACAGCAAAGGGGATGAGATGTGTCACACTCACCAAATGCCCATAAGGATTCTCCTTAAACCGCGATTCGCCTTAAACTTGGGGGCTCACCTGTGAAAAACAGAAAAAACAATAGGCATGTAAGGACATACATCAACGGTACCTCCTGGGAAACGTGGTGCGATATGTGAGCAAACGCCGATCTTTTTGCGGGTTCGTGAAACTTAGAGCTCGTCTTTCGCTGGTTTAGACCAAACCTATGGCAGGCTTCAAAAAGGGCAAATGAACTTCCCACCTTGGTGGTGCGAAGTGGGTTTGGTCCATCAGTATGAGGGACTCAACTGATGCAGAGCCGGACGGAGACGTGACCCACAGAAAGGCCCCGAGATACATTGCCGTATGGCTCAGGAGTACGATCATGTTGACTAAGGGCTGGTTCCCCCTGAGTAAGGAACATATATCGTGTTTAGGGTTCCTTTGATTAGGCCTCTGAAGTCAAAACTAATCAAAAGACACTGGGAGAGGGGAGGTTTTGTGCAACAAAAACATGGGTTTAGGGCGGGTTTAGGGCTTAGGGTTGGTTTAGGGTGGTTATAGGGTCAGTTTAGAGTTGGTTTAGAGTTGGTTTAGGGTTGGTTAAGGTTTGGTTAAGGGTTGGTTTACAGTGGGTTTAGGGTGGGTTTGGGGATTGGCTTGTGGTTGGCTTAAGGTTGATTTAGGGTTGGTTTAGGCTTAGGGTTAAGTGTTAGGGGTGTAGGATTGGTTTAGGGTTTGGGATTTGTGGGTTGAGTTGTCCTACGTGTCTGGGATGCAAAGGGTGCGAGTTCAAGGCTCGAGGAGGGGGTCTGGGACCGTAGTAGCGGTGTGTGGGGATCCGGGTGCTCCTTGAACGCCGGGGGGGGGGGGGGGCTACCCCCCTTGGGGTTGGGGGGGGGGGGGTTGGTGGCCTGGGGGCTGGAACATATAGCCAATCCCTTCTCGTTTGCTGGTGCTATTTACACGCTAGTATACCAGTCACAACAAGTTCCATCTGAAAGCAAGCAAGCAGCGCCCAACATTCGTTGACAGTTAGTTCTACCAAAATGGCTCGAAGGCTTTTTACACGCCTTACCGACATGTCCACTAAGCCAGTGTCAAACACTTTTCCCAACTCTGACGCCGAAACAGCATGTCTTCAGAATCTTTTAGCATGCCCTGACCAAATGGAGGAGACCCCACGGAATGGGCTCTGGGCTGTGCTTCATATTTCTTGGTAGAATCAAATCCAGCGAGGTCCAAGGTGATACCAAAGTGGATGCCGTCCCACCACTAGGGTATCACTTGAAGGGGGATACGAAGAGTGTCACAAAGAGGCACTACAAGAAAAGTTTCAACAAATGGGTAGGGGTCAAAATAGGGAATTGGACCCTGAAATGATTCGGTTGCTTTTGGCTTCCCTTTACACCCCACCCAAAGGGTACCTTTGAAGAACACCCCCCAAAATGCCCATAAGTAACTTGTTCCATTGAGTGGGAAATATCCTGTTCTTTGGTGGTTTCCCGAATGGTCATCCCATGTAAAGGACCTCTTGATCACCTCCCCACATACCCAACCATTCCCAACCAGGCCCAAAGTGCCACGTGGTTGATGAACTCCACCCCAGTGCCGATGGCCGCAGTGATGTCGTCACAAAGCTCCTGGAGAAAGTTACTTTTTTCTGATTGGTATTGATATCGGGTCAAAATTAAACCACCAGGATGTGGACCGCAGGTAGTTCTTGCTTCCATTTACCAGTGTTCCATTTTGGGTTGCCCAATTTTTGACCCAGCCCAATATTCTCACCCCCTTAGGGACCCAGAAAGAAAAAGTGACCACCTTTGAGGACCTTGACTAACTTACTTCCCGAGTTGATGGGCCCCAAAAAATCCAAACTTGTTGTTTACCACTAAAATGTTCTTCCCGCCAAAAAAAGTCCAGGAACTCAGGGAGTGACTCAAAATGCAAAATTCGAAACCAAAAGGCAACAGGTCGATGCGCTTTGGACGGGCGTGAGTATTGGTGACATTCATGGGCGCGTCGGTGCCATGGCAAGCAGGCAGCTGGTTCTCCAGACAACCCCGTGCCGAATGTGAGTCAGCGCCGCTTTTTGGGAAACTGAAGCACCCAAGTGATGGGTTTTCTAGGATCAGAAGCCTTCCGGTTTGTCCAGGATTCACTGAGAACCAAGTCAGCAAGTCCGGAGACAAATTTATACCACCCCCCACTGCACTTAACACTGTGCTTCGTTGATCCCTTAAAAGGTGAACTACTTGTAGGGAGATATGTCATAAGTCCAACTCTTAACTCTAAAAAAGCTTCAAGTAGAGTCGAAGGGTATGGCTGGAAACTGCCTCGTAAGTTGGACTCTAAACAAGATAGTTGAAGAGACCCCGAGAAAAGGGACAATGAGGGAAGGAAAAATGGCGGGACAGCAAGCAGGATAGCAGAGTCTGTCAATTTTGCCCCCCTCACCGACAGTCGCCCCTAGTGTACAAAGCCTGAAGTCCCCCAACGAGTGAAGCCCCAAAAATCGTCAAGTTGGGGAGGTCCCTTGTTCCGTTACTTGCAATACAACCAAACAACCCTCCCCCAAACACAGAGGGGGCGCGCTTGGGCGCGCCTTGGGGACATTCCTTGGACATCATGCCCCTCTTCACGGCTCACTCAGGTGCGTTTCCTTCCTGGGAAAATCCAGACGTAGGGCCCAACTAGACTCAGGTTGCGGGTACAAACAACTTTCACCTCCCCCCCACCAAAAAACAAAGACAGTGAAAGTTATTTGTACCTCCTCCCTCCCCCCCGAAAGAAAAAACAAACTAACACAAAACCAACAAACAAAGCATTTTGATTGACGGGGTCCGGGCACCCCCCGCGCAGAAACTCTTCCTCGGTGTCCCAGGCCATGCCCGCGCCCACGCCCATGGGCGCGATGATGGCCATGCCCTCCGGCGTGGCGTCGCAGGCCAAGTCCTCGCAAAGGAACGGGCCTTTTTGTTGCATTGCGTATTATTATTATTATCATTATTATTATTATTATTATTATTATTATTATTATTATTATTATTATTATTATTATTATTATTATTATTATTATTACTATTTTCTGTTAAAAAAGAAAGAACAACACACATTTTTGGGGGCTACATGGGTGGCTCGTCATTTTCGCAGGGGCTACATGGATGTGTTTCTTTGTTTTTCTGGGCTATATGGGGCTACATTTTTTCTGGGGCTACATGGGTGGCTCGTCATTTTCTCAGGGGCTACATGGATGTGTTTTTTTCTTTTTCTGGGCTACATGGGCTACATGGCTGTTTTTGTCAGGCTATCCCTTTTGATCCCCTCTGGGAAACGTTTGACTTTGGTGGGCTACACCCTAAAAACCTAAAAACCCAAGCAGATGGCTGGGAACCACCAAGGTAGGTTTTGGGGTTGTGGGGGTTGATCAATATTTCAACTTCGGCCCCCAGTTTTCACAATGGCTAACTTTGCCCTTTGGTACATATCGAATCTTCTTATTGGTTTCCCAACCAACGGTCATCCTATGTAAAGGACCTTTTGATCAACCTCCATGTACTGTGTGTAAACAAAACCTGGGTTTGTGGGCTTTGAGTGTTTGCAAAAACATGCTATGAAAGGGACGGGAACGCCACCAACATAGAGTCTAAGAAACCAGCGAAACTAAGAAGTTCCACAGTTTCCTGCAGAAATTGTTGTAGCTGGTTTCTATGATGAGTTGACGACAACCCCATCAACTTACCAACCAGTCTGAGTCAGTCTGAGGCTGTGTCTGAGAGGGTCTAGCATCCGTCTCATAAATGGATGGAGGGATGGATGGATGGACGGACGGACGGACGGATGGATGGATGGGTTGAGGGGATTGGATCTGTCCGAGGAACTCTGTTTTTCGAGGGGCACTACCCACTTTGGTGTTAGAGGGTACGACATGGTGTCTATCTCCTTTAACAAATTTAAGGCTCAACCAATGATAGGGGATGCAGTTGGGCGAAAGTAGATGAATTCAATCCCCCCCCCCCCGGTAAGGGTCTGGTCATCCCCTTTAACTCACCAGCACAAAGGAAATTGCGCCATCCACTGTCGCCCTGGTGTAAACCAACGACAAACCTTGGTTGAATCTACGGTTTCTCCCTTCCCTCAGAACGCGAGGAAGCCCTTTGTCCATTTCCATGGCTGTTGGAAAGAGGGCAAGGACCAAGGAATGCCTTTCAACAGCCCAGCTGTTCTTTGTTTTGTGGGGGGGACAAACATGTGGTTCCGCAACCAACCCACGGAAGCGGTGCGTCCACGAATTTTGGAGCATCTAAGTAGCCTGAGGATAGCCAAGGAAGGGAGCCATGAGCTTTGTTTGGTATGAATAGGGATATGGACCCAACAAATGGCTTCGGTTTTGATTTGGTGTCTCTTTAAACCAACCCAAAAGGGTAATTCCCCCAAAAGAAGGAAGACATATGTAAGTGTATCTCTCTCTCTATATATATATATTATAGATGTATCCGCCAGAAAGCTGGAAGGGGTTTCCCCCTCGGCGAATGCCCGCGGACCGCAAGAAGTTGTTCATTTTGTCGGGGAACGCATTTTCGCCAAAGCAGGTCGAAGTGCCAACCAACTTGAAGCCCTTCCATAGGCCTTCCAAAGGCAGTTTCCCTTCAGAATCAATGGCTCCCCAATGCTTGGGATTCAAAGCTGGAGAAAGTAAGACAAGACCCTAATTTCAGGCAGACCCGAAAAAAATACAGGTCTTGAGGGAAAATCGGCTTTGGGGGCCTTTGACTGAACATATACCTGCAGCCCCCCCAAAAGTGTTCGCTATGGCTGCTATGGGCCCGGAGCGGTCGCTCTCTCGACTCCCGAGCTGGGGAGCCCCAAAGATTCGAGACTCGGCTCACGCAACAAAAAAAAAGGGGCGCCAGCAGCCAACGGCTGTTTCCAATCCACCTCCCCAGTATCCAAAAAGCAGTGGTTGGGATCCAATCCACAACCTCCCAAGTATCCAAAAGTGGTTGGGGGCTGGTTGCGCAAGTCAGGATGCTTTGATTCTCCAGCCGAAAACCAGGGTATTGAGGCGACCCGTCAGTTGGTTGGAAGTCACTCAGTTGGTTGTCGCTCGCCGGGGCGCAGCGATGCCGCTGGCAAGGTCTGAGAAAGCGTCCACCAGCTGGCCGTCGCCGTCGCGGTTGTCCAGCTGACCTCACCGCTGGGTCTCACCGGTGGAGGTTTACTGGCAAACTGTGGTTTTGTTTCCAGGAGTTCAGGGGCATTTTTTCTCCGGAAGCGGTAAGTTCATTTGCCTCGATTCCAAACCAGGGGTATTCACCAATCTGGAAGTCCCACCATCATTCTACAACCTGACCCAGATCTGGGGAACACAGAAACTACGTAATTTTGTCTGACTCCGCTGCATATGCAGTCTACCCCCAAAAAATAGAATAGTTTTGGAGGAGACACCGAAAAAAAAAAAAAAAGGTCCCCATGGTCTCCATGTTTGCCTTCACGGTTCAAGGTCTCCAAACTCTATGCGCAATTTGCAGTTCTGCAAATGGTGGTTTAGAAGAAAGGTGTCAGGTTTATGAGGAGAGACTGTTCATTTCTGCAATTCTTATGACTAATAGCTCCAAAACCAGAAATCTGAACTGGATCCACAAGCAAAGGACCTTCATCATGGGTTTCTGCTCGTGAACGGTTCGCCGAAAGCATGCTTGCAGAAATCGTGCTGGGAGGCAGAAACCTTCAGACCAGCGCACTGTCTGTCAAACCGTGGCCGTGGGAAGCAACCCTTTCTGTGGTGCCAGCGTTGGCCATCCCTATAAGTACTTCGTCACTTTCAGGCCTTGGTATCACAGAAAGCTACCTTAACACCCATTTTCATACAACCTTGCGTGAAACTGGTACTCCCCGGCAACTACACATGGAAACGGGTTCCAAGTTTGATCTGCAGGAGGGTATCTGGGTGCCGCAACCGACTGAAGGAAATGTGTTGAAACATATGGCTATGGTTCAAAATTAGACCACCAGGGGACCGCCGCTTTTAGTCCTTGGTTCCATTACCCAGGGTTCCATTTTGGGCCTTTGGGTACCCATTTTTGACCCACACCCATATGTTGTGAACTGAGGATTGACTGCCCTTGTAGCAGTCCTTTTGGGCTTTCAAGGTTTGAAGACCTGTTCAAAGCAATCCCTTTGAACCAAGGGCACCAACATAAGCCGTTCTGAGCATTTAGGCAGGTTGAATCGCTATCCTGGTGCCTTAGGGTTGGACAAAACAAAAACAATGGCTCATTCCCTTTTGGTCAAACCAGGTTGGGAAATTGAACTAAACTGTTGGTCAAACTTGTTTGGGTGTGGGAGCTTCAGGTCTCAAACTGGTAGGAAAGCAAGCATGTGCAGCTTCCCACCAACATAGGCCGTGGTCAACTATGTGGCTTCCTGGATGGACATAGGACACTTATAGGTTCTTAGAGCCCGTCTGGCTTTCGTGAACAGTTTAGTGAGTACCTCATGTCCCTCCCAAGTAATTCACAAAGCAAACAACATAAGCTAGACACCGCTAGACACAAGCTCGGGCAAAAGCACTCAACCAAGTGACGTGTGCGCTCGATGTCCCGCGCGCTGCACCAGTACAGGCTCTCCACGTTCAATCCCGCCTGAAGTGGCATGCTGACGTGGGTCCTTTGGTACTTGACAGAGCTGTCGGAAATGTCTACCTCTGATTAATAAACACACACACACACACACCCCAAACAACCTCCCTCCCCCAAACAGTTCTTGCAACTTGATTACGAATTGCTAAGTATTGCTCACAGATTTGTTGTGTTTCAATTGATTTAGTATTGCTGGAGCCTCCTTTTGAGATTGGATTCGGGGTTCCAATTGGTTAGCATTGGTGGATTTGAGTTTTTAATTGATTTCGTATTGCTGGAGCCTCCTTTTGAGATTTCATTTGTTGGGATTCCAACTGATTTAGTATTGCTGGTGACACTTCTTTTTTTTAGGGGGGAGGGCAACCAGAAATCTTTATTTAAGGGGGCCCCCTAAATGATGTTTTTTTCAACCCTCAAGTGCTACCCCCCTTGTAGGGTTGATTCGGGGCCACTTTTTAAACAAGCGTATGTAAAGAATTTGCAGTTTTGGAGCTAGTATTTTTTGTAGATCTGAAATTAAGGCAGGCGAGGCGGATACTGACCAATCAGACAGGCTAGTGGAAGAGGTTCAGATGATGCTAGCGGGTGTGTGTGTGTGTGTTGTTTGGTGTGTTTTTGTGAGTGTGTGTGTGTGTGTGGATTCCCCGCCAAAAAAACACAAAAACCAACACAACTTTATTTCGGGGGGGTTATTCATCAGTGCCGGCCCACAACATAGCTTTAATCGGGGGAGGTGTTTTAATCATAGGTCGACATTACTTGAGTCTCGCTCTTGTCAGCCTCCCTTGAATTGGTGATTTGGATTGGTGGTTCGGAGGTGAATCGGGGTAGTTTCCCATTTCCCCTCTACAAAAGCCAGGGGTTCAAATCGGAGACCACCAAGGCAAACCGCCAAGGGTTTCCTGATCTTCGGAGGCTAAAAGGGGTCGGGTGAAAGTAGATAGCACTCCCCTAATGACCAAACCAACATGAGGCAATTCTCGTTCGAAAGGGGGCAAGTAGCTTGCTCGTTCCAAAGCAAGTAGTTTGCTCGTTCCAACGGGGTATTTAGGATTCCTTAGGCTTATTTCGGCTTGGTTGGGGTTAGTTGGGAGTATTTAGCGGGGCAGCCCCCAAACCTTTATTCCCCAAAAAAATAATCCCCCAAATAACCCAAATACCCCAGAGACATGTGAGATCGCAACGGAGGGGAAGCACTCAAAAACCTCAGCAAGAAAGGATAATAATTCAGGGGCAAATCAGTTCAGAAAGGCGTTAAAACATTGTGTTTTACAGCTTCTTTGGAGGCACTGGTCCGCTGCAAGCGACAAGTCTGTTGCAGGGTGGACGGTGCTTCGCTATCTGGAGCATACTCAGCGGTGAAAATGCTTCGCCTGAAACAATACAATTAATCTTCAAATGTCTTGAGACCTGCATAATGTGTACATCTATATATATATGTATGTGTGTTTGTATGCGTGTATATGTATATACACGCGTGTTGTGTGTATATATATATATATATGTGCATATTAATGTATAGGCGCGCGACCCAATATCCCCCCTCCCCCCTCCTCCCCCCGGGAAGAAATTCAACATCCAGAAACACTGTACAAAAACAGTGCTTTTTAGTTAGCATTGTCAGCTTGGGGAAGATTCCTTCAAGGCCTCAAAATGCTTGAAGATTGGCAACTGCAAACATGTCTGAAGGGGATGCGAAGCCGGTCGTGCCATGCACGGAAGAGCACCGGGGAGGCCATACTGAAAGGGGGACCTATGTTTACAACATATGTCTATGTGAGGACTACCTGTGTTCTATACAAACTGATTACATAATATGTTATACATCTATATCTATGTATATATCTATATATGTATAATAATTATGTATATATATATGTACATATATATATATATGGTACCCAGACCTACGGACTTCGCGCCGCTACGCGCGTGCCTGGGAGTAGGCATTGGCGGCGTTCGTGATGTCCCAGATGGAGCCGCCCAGCTCGCGTTTGTTGGTCTGGTCGTTGAAGGCGTGGTAGCACGGGTGCTCCTCTCAGTGACCGTGGGACCTCGCTTTGCCAAGCACTTTGCTAATGCCATGCGGGGTGTGGGTCTATGACTGTAGGTTGTAAGCCTCCTAAATGCTACAACTCATAAGCAATGGTCAGGCTGGCTTCAAGCAGGCTGTCTTAAGCCTGGTTGCCCTTAGCAGGGTGTACTTGGGGTGAAAAACAGGTCCTTGGTCCTTGCAGGGGATACCATCTTCATTGCCATCCACTTCCAAAGCTGCCCCTTTCGGACCCTCGGAAGAGCATGCCCTTGGCCCTTTCTCGTGACCCAAACGGCAACAGCATTGGAGCCCTTTCTGGGATTGACCATTCTATGGAGGGGAAGCCACCACAAAAGGGAAAAGGGGTGCCGTGGTGCACTGAAGCGGGTTCTGGAATACATCCACCATCGGGCTTTACGGGGATTTGGATCCTGTACATCAGGTCGGATTAATATAGTTTCAAGAGTGAGATCTGTATTGCATTGACCACAAAGTGAAGTATACTGCTTAGTTTGTCCTGACGAAGAATATGTTGTTGTTTTGTTATTCACGGGTAGCTGATACTGGTTTTGTACGGATTGATTGCGGGTTGCGCATCCCACCCTGCCAAATTGCTTGTCAAGTAACAAATCAATAATGATACGCAAAGTCATTGAGCGGACGCTCTGTTTCTCAACCAAGGTCTGATTCAGGCACGCCTTCCTGTGTGCGATTCTTCCTGTGCTCAACTACACACGGCGAGCTGGTCAAAAAAGCCAATGCCGGCAGTTTGTCGGGCACTTCACGCTGGTTGAAATCATGAGATCTGAGCACAACTCCTGTAGCCCAAGCCAAGCATAGGCAGAGCAGGCCTTTGACATGAGGATACTTAATGAATGCGACACGAAGTTGGCAAAACATTGGCTGGCACTTGGTGCAGGTCCCGTCTCACCAAACAACAACGTTTTTGAATAAAACCTAGTTTTCTCAGCCAAACCTGTCAATCCGCGAAATACCTTAAAAACCCGGTTTTGAGCTTGCGACCTCTTCTTCTTTCAGGGGCTTGATGTAGGAAGGAAACTCGGTTGAATTTGGCCCAACCGTTGAACTCCACCAACGGGGAATACAATCCGCGGGTTTGTCCTTGATCCACGACTCGTTTCTAACGTTCCCGGTAAAGTGGCCGAAGAAGCCTTCCTCTTGGTTCCCCCAAACCCAAAAAAATCCGAGTCCTCCGCCACGGCCTCTTGGGAGAGGAGGCTGGTGCCCTCCCTTGGGAGCCATGAGTGGATGAGGGGAAGCGAAGGCCGTAGGAACCAAATCCTTGGGGTCTCATAGGAATCGATCCATGGCCTAAATGGCAATGGGGTGCTATTTTGGTTGCCTTATGGGCAAGGGGCTCCGAGACACTCATTTGGAGATTCTGCATTTCGGCCATTGTGGGTCCTCTTGGATCTTAAGCCTAATGAATCACGTGACATGAACAGAGGGAAAAGGTAGATGACGTGTGGTCTTCTTTCACCAGTGTTCATTTGGCTCCATTCGTGTATCTTCAAAGGGGTTTATAGGCATGAAAAGCAAGAGTAAAACCGTTTGCATGCCCTTGATTCCACCTCACCAGCTATGTATTTACTGATAATTGGCTTGAGATGACTTTGTGCAACTCGCAGACCTTTCTTTTGGTCAAATTGACTTCCAGGGACAACCAGCTTTTCAAAACTCGCTCCTTTTTTCTGACGCAGAGTTGGGTGACAGTAGATGGCGCAATTCTCTCACTTTCCTCCCCTTTCCTTCCCTGAGGGAGTTGTACCTACTTGCAGCCCGGTGCAACCTTGCTTCGGAGTTGTTTCTCCTAAATGTTGCAAGGCCGTGGGTCCAACTTAAAACTTTCAGAGGGCTTGAACCAAATGGGCCGCTTCCTCTTTCCCCAGCTTTCCGCTTTCTATCTCCGACCAGAGACCTTCAAACGCCCAAGAGCCCTTCATCAGGCGAATTAACACTCTGGGAGGGGGGCGCGGGTCTTGGAGGTGAAATGAAATTGGCCTGGCAGCCGAGCCCCTAGGAAAATGGGGTGATCTCTAAAGAGAGGGATGGGTGAAGAGAAGGGGAATCAACCCTAACCACCTAAGACAATGTTTCCTTAAGCAGGGAACTATGGCTATGAAGTTCAATAGGGACACCCTCCAACATGGTTGGTGGACATAACTCCCCCAATCAAGGCTGTTTTCTGGGGGAAGGGGGGGTTGTTGCAAGCCTAGGACAAGCCCTTGAGAAGGCCAACGGGATAATAGGACAAAGCCCCCCCAGTTTGCCCCAAGGTCAAACTCTTAGTCTCGTTACCGAGAAAGGTCTCAGCCAGAGGTGGCCACTGGTTCAAAAGCCAAATAGGTTAGCCCCCAGTGAACATCCGATTCAATCAAACCACTAAAATAGGTTCTAAAATGGGTGCACCTAATGTTAACCCCGGATTAATACCCCACTGGTTGATTAATAGAGGGGTGTCACCCCTTTTAGTGGGGGTTCATACCACTTTTGGAGGGAACACCCCCCTAATGGTACGGGTTTACGAATCCTGGGTCAACACTACCCCATGGGATCCCATTGGTTTACCACAGCCAGTCTCAGCTCGCGGCTGGATGGCCGTTGCCACAGGGCCCCGGGTACCATCGAAGTTCTCCACGCCGTTGGCGTTCCTCGCCTGAAGGCGGATGGGAGGCACAGAAGCGGAGGGGTGGGGACCCTCCAGACGAAGTCATGGAAGCTCCCCCGAACGGGCCCCTTAAGACTTGGTTCCATGTACAGAGGCCAATTGGGGGAGCTTCCATGTTAGTCGGGAGTGTAATGTTGACCCCCTATTCATCAACCAACCAGTTTTTGCACAGGGGGTGTCCAAATGTGAAAACTTGGGACTTAGACAACTTTTGGAGGACCCCGCCCCAGATTTAATAGGGAGTCAACCGCTGGCCATATGGTTGGGTTAGTATGACCGTTTACCCAGCTTCATCTAAATCCTTTTGTTGAACCCGAAAAGGGGGTTCCCTCAACCGACACTCCCTCCCCATTTCAGCAGGACCCAAAACCCCTTGATGCTTGGTTCTACTGAGTTGGTTATAAAGGTCTGGATAGGCCGGAAACCATGACCCCTGTCAAAACCACGGTAGAACCTAACTTTGCCATGGGTTTGCTCTGTTTGGTCCACATCTGGGGTACACAAACAAAATATGTTCAGATTCTGATTCATATGGGTATGGGTCAAAATAAGGGACACATTGCCAAAAAGGATGGTGTTCTTTGTAATTCTTTAACCCACCTTAAAGAGAGCACCCTCAAAAATACACACCTACCCGAAAATCACACATCGCTTTGGAGGCCAAAAATGGCGGCCGAGTTCCCCCAAGACAAACAATGCGTGTCAAACGGAAGATCCACATGAGCATTTCTCAAACGGAATTCGGAGGGCGGGTCCTTTAGGGCAACCGAACAGCAAAGTTTGCATGGGTTCGACGGTTGGTTTAGGAAGACCAAAAGGAACACCAGCCATTTTGTTGAAATTGTGAACCTTTAGCCCAAAACTCAAATTGTCGGTTCTGGGGAGGCTTCAAGCGGGCAAGCTTCGCTCACCGCTGCAACTTTTGCACCCCCGAACAGGTCCCAAGCTTCCCAGGCAGTTTTCGGCCGTGTTGAGACAGGGTCCAGTTGCGCACAGGTAGGTCTCGCCACACCCAAACTTGTGGTACCAGTTTCAACTCCCGGACAAATATGGAACCCAAGAAACAAGAATGTTTGAGAGGAATCTCCTCTTGGGGGGACCCAAATTGCCTGGGTTCCTTGTGGTTCTCCCTTCTCGTGAACCCCAAAAGGATCATAGACTGACGATGTTAAGACCAAACCTCGTATGAGCAACGGACATATTAGTGGCAATCTATGGTTGATTCGGCTTGGGGGGGAGTTTCATTTGGGTCCCAAAACCATAGCAGGCCAATTCCCCAATTGATCAAGATAGATTGTCGGTTGCTCACATACCAGGACAGTCTCCTTGGTTCTCTACCCCCAAACCCACTTTACAGGTGTCCGGGTCGCTCCCTGCGCCGCCCGAAACGAGCAGGCCGATCACTTGTAGGTACGGCTTCCGCCAAGGGGTGTGTCTTTCTGTAGGCGCCCCCCCTAAAATGCTGGGGTTCCTTGTTGGTTTCCGCTTAAAACCACCCCCCAACATGGTTGGTGTCGTTTTGGCGTCCCTTAATAACCACAGAAAGAGGGGTACCCAAAACAGGGCCTTTGGATTCGGTCACCAACGCCCAGCAAAGCGAACTGGGCGTTTCGCAACGCGTTTCGCGAGGCCTTGCAGAAGGCCAGGTAGCCTTGGACTTTTCTCCCGCACCCCAGCTATCGGTCTCTCGTCAAAATCAAGGGGACGATCCAACATGGCGGGCTTCCTTTTGGCTTCCCTTTCAAAAAGAAAAGGGGCCCCTCGAACAAAAAACACCCCAAAACTGGGATTTGTGAAAAGTCGGCAGCACTTTCTAAGAGGGTCTGAAAAGGAGAGGTGCCCTTTCATGTTGCGTTAGAACCATCCGGTAAGAAAATCCTAGTGGCGATGAAAGGGGTCAACAAATAAACCAAGGCATGTGGCAAATGTCTGCTGGAAATCATTCGCCTCCAGATCTTGCCAACCGGGTTCAGGGATCTCGCAAACACAACCCCAAAGTCCCCAAAACCCAGTAAGGCCCGGCCAATGCAAGAATTCATAGCACCCAAGCACCGCCAAACTTACGGCCAAACTTACGGCAACTCGCGGTCCCTTACCATGGGCCCCAGATCCCTAGAGGTAAGTCTTCAGGTCAAACGGGCCTGAAGTTCCCTGGAAAAAATATGTCCAGCGAAATACAAAAAGGGTGTGCTTCACGAAGGGTACCCACAAAAAAAGACATACCCGCATATTCTTAAGCACATGGGAGGATTTAATCCCTATTGCACATGAACCTAGCACAAAACGCTTGTCGCCCTGGGCCCTTACCATATGGGTGTGTCTCTTTGTTGAGGGTACCCGTTTTCTTTTGTGCTTCTAGCGGGAAAACAGGAACACCCACCATTCTTGGGGATCCCCCCAAAGAAAACACACCCATAGTACGGGAAGCCGTTGTACTTAGCTCGGCCAAGTTTACAAGTACCTCCATTTGCCTAAGTCCCCTGGAAAAAAAATTCCAGTAGTGATATATTCCCTTTAAAGCCAACAGGGGAAAATAAAGAATATTCTTAACCAAATGGCAGAGTGCCTGGGTTGCCCACTTACAAGCGGAGCTCGTGTGGAGAGCCTGGTGTTTTACCCTGGTGGCTAACCGTTAACTGGGGCCCCCGGACCAATTGGGGTACCCCCAAAATGGCAATTCCATGTCCCTTTGGTTTCCCTTTAAACCGATAGCGATACCCCCAAAATGGCAATTTTCATTTTCCTTTGGTTTCCCTTTAAACCGATAGCGATACCCCCAAAATGGCAATTTTCATTTCCCTTTGGTTTCCCCTGAAACCAATCGGGATACCCCCACAATGGCAATTATCATTTCGCTTTGGTTTCCCTTTAAAACAATCCGGGATACCCCCACAATTGCATTTTTAATGTCCCTTTGGTTTCCCTATTTAAACCAATTGGGATACCCCCACAATGGCAATTGTCATGTCCCTTTGGTTTCCCTTTAAACGAATAGGGACACCCCCCAAAAGTGGCAATTGTTATTTCCCTTTGAAACTTCGGTATCCCTTTAAACCAATAGGGACACCCCCCAAGTGGCAATTGTAATTTCCCTTTGAAACTTTGGTTTCCCCTGAAACCAATAGGGATACCCCCACAATGGCAATTTTCATTTCCCTTTGGTTTCCCCTGAAACCAATCGGGATACCCCCACAATGGCAATTATCATTTCGCTTTGGTTTCCCTTTAAAACAATCCGGGATACCCCCACAATTGCATTTTTAATGTCCCTTTGGTTTCCCTATTTAAACCAATTGGGATACCCCCACAATGGCAATTGTCATTTCCCTTTGGTTTCCCTTTAAACGAATAGGGACACCCCCCAAAAGTGGCAATTGTTATTTCCCTTTGAAACTTCGGTATCCCTTTAAACCAATAGGGACACCCCCCAAGTGGCAATTGTAATTTCCCTTTGAAACTTTGGTTTCCCTTTAAACCGATAGCAATACCCCCAAAATGGCAATTGTCATTTCCCTTTGGTTTCCCTTTAAACCAATAGGGATACCCACACAATGGCAATTATCATTTCGCTTTGGTTTCCCTTTAAACCAATCCGGGATACCCCCACAATTGCCTTTTTAATGTCCCTTTGGTTTTCCTATAAACCAGTTGGGATACCCCCACAATGGCAATTTTCATTTCCCTTTGGTTTCCCTTTAAACCAATATAAAAAAAACCCAAAATTGCAATTTGAATGTCCCTTTGGTTTCCCTATTTAAACCAATAGGGATACCCCCACAATGGCAGTTTCATTTCCCTTTGGTTTCCCCTGAAACCAATAGGGATACCCCCACAATGGCAATTATAATTTCGCTTTGGTTTCCCTTTAAACCAATAGGGATACCCCCACAATGGCAATTATCATTTCGCTTTGGTTTCCCTTTAAACCAATCCGGGATACCCCCACAATTGCCTTTTTAATGTCCCTTTGGTTTCCCTGTAAACCAGTTGGGATACCCCCACAATGGCAATTTTCATGTCCCTTTGGTTTCCCTTTAAACCAATAGGGATACCCCCAAAATTGCAATTTTTAATTCCCTTTGAAACTTTGGTTTCCCTTTAAACGAATAGGGACACCCCCCAAAAGTGGCAATTGTTATTTCCCTTTGAAACTTCAGTTTCCCTTTAAACCAATAGGGACACCCCCCAAGTGGCAATTGTAATTTCCCTTTGAAACTTCTGTTTCCCTTTAAACCAATAGGGACACCCCCCAAGTGGCAATTGTTATTTCCCTTTGAAACTTCTGTTTCCCTTTAAACCAATAGGGACACCCCCCAAGTGGCAATTGTAATTTCCCTTTGAAACTTCTGTTTCCCTTTAAACCAATAGGGACACCCCCAAAGTGGCAATTGTTATTTCCCTTTGAAACATCGGTTTCCCCTTAAACCAATAGGGACACCCCCCAAGTGGCAATTGTAATTTCCCTTTGAAACTTTGGTTTCCCTTTAAACCAATAGGGACACCCCCCAAGTGGCAATTGTAATTTCCCTTTGAAACTTTGGTTTCCCTTTAAACCAATGAATGGGGACACCGCCCAAGTGGCAATTGTAATTTCCCTTTGAAAGTCTGTGTGTCTGTGTGTCTGTGTGTCTGTGTGTCTGTGTCTGTGTGTTTGTGTCTGTGTCTGTGTGTCTGTGTTTGTGTTTGTGTCTGTGTCTGTCTTTCTTTCTGTGGTTGTTTTTGTTTTTGTCTTTGTCTGTGTCTTTGTCTCTGTCTGTTTGTTTGTTTGTTTGTTTGTTTGTTTGTTTGTTTGTTTGTTTGTTTGTTTGTTTGTTTGTGTGTTTGTTTCTCTGTCTGTCTGGTTGTCTGTTTGTTTGTCTGGTTGTTTGGTTGTTTGTTTGTTTGTTTGTTGGTTTTGTTTGTTTATTTGTTTGAAATTGATATTGTATAGGTTAAGCTTTATGAGTTAACTGATATTGTATAGGTGAATTGTTATGAATTTATAAAATTTAGGGTTTGTTTTGTGCTATCGAAATAATTAGGATAATTTTGATGGAACTTGGAGGATATTGTGTTTTGGTGTATATCATATTTAAGAGTAAGGTTTAACATATTATGTTTTATATTCTATAGATTGGATTATTTTAAATTTGAATAATTTAGAGATAGAGGTTGTTGATATGCATTATTGGGATATGAAGCCCGAAAATATGTTGGTTATTGTTTTGATTCGATTTTTGGAGATATTATCTTGGTTTTGGTTTAGCCTTAACAAAGGGTGTTATAAATGGGTGCGTTTAAACGATAAGATTTAGGTTAATGACGAGATGGTGAAGCTGGCCGATTTCGGCCTAGTTTAAGAGATTCGAGTGTATGATTCTTTAGATTGATCGAAATCGCATTGGCATGGTTTGTTATGGAACGAATATATTTACGAAAAATGTTTTTGGGAAATTAGAAAAATAATTTATTTAGATAATTTAGTATGATTTTGGCTGAAATATTGTGCCCGGGGGTTATTTTTCGCATGCATTGCAATAATTCCGAATCTAAATCTAACCACGAAATTTATTTATGATCTAAAGAAAATGTTATGCTTGTTATGGTTGTATTATTTATTGATCTTGTAAAAGTGTCCAAATGATTAAATAATATGATATATTATTGATAAAGTGGCAATTGTACTTTTCCTTTGAAACTTTGGTTTCCCTTTAAACCAATAGGGACACCCCCCAAGTGGCAATTGTAATTTCCCTTTGAAACTTTAGTTTCCCTTTAAACCAATGGGGACACCCCCCAAGTGGCAATTGTAATTTCCCTTTGAAACTTCTGTTTCCCTTTAAACCAATAGGGACATCCCCAAAGTGGCAATTGTACTTTTCCTTTGAAACTTTGGTTTCCCTTTAAACCAATAGGGACACCCCCCAAGTGGCAATTGTAATTTCCCTTTGAAACTTTGGTCTCCCTTTAAACCAATGGGGACACCCTCCAAGTGGCAATTGTAATTTCCCTTTGAAACTTTGGTTTCCACTTTAAACCGAATTGGGACACCCCCAAAGTGCAATTGTAGGAATTGCCCTTTGATACTTTGGTATACCTTTAAACCAATGGAAATGGGACACCCCCCAAGTGGCAATTGTAATTTCCCTTTGAAACTTGGTTTCCCTTTAAACCAATGGTGACACCCCCAAAGTACACCCCCAAAGAGGCAATTGTAAATTCCCTCGGTTTAAACTTTGTTTCCCTTTAAACCAATGGGGACACCCCCAAAGTGGCAATTGTAATTTCCCATTGAAACTTTGGTTTCCCTTTAAACCAATGGGGACACCCCCCAAGTGGCAATTGTAATTTCCCTTTGAAACTTTGGTTTCCCTTTAAACCAATGGGGACACCCCCCAAGTGGCAATTGTAATTTCCCTTTGAATCTTTGGTTTCCCTTTAAACCAATGGGGACACCCCCCAAGTTGCAATTGTAATTTTCCTTTGAAACTTTGGTTTCCTTTAAACCAATGGGGACACCCCCAAAGTGGCAATTGTAATTTCCCTTTGAAACTTTGGTTTCCCTTTAAACCAATGGGGACACCCCCCAAGTGGCAATTGTAATTTTCCTTTGGTTTCCCTCTAAACCGACCCCCTGTTTTTCAACTGGAACCGGGAGGCAGCGGTCCGTGGGGCTCCCGGTGGCCGGGCCCTCCGTGGGAAGCCTAACCGAAAAACGGCCGCAGACGTGCTGAAAGCCCCCGGTGCTTCAAAATACCTCGCTGAAAGGCAGAGTTGACCCCGATTTGAGCCAGCCCACTGGTGGTTTCCTTGGGAACCCCCAAGTTCATTCCCTCATTGCCTACTCAGCATTAAAATGAACCCGAAAGAAGCAAGTTGGCATTTGGATGGGCAAGCGGCAAGCGTAAGTTTGTCCAACAGGTCTACGGTGTCTTTGGGGTCGCACCAAAGACCAGCCATGAATCCAAGGCTGATTGTGTGTGTGTGTGTGTCCTTTTTATGAATCCCTGGTATTGACTTTCTAGTGCATGGTAGATTAAGCGGTAGCTGTGGCTTGATGTTGGCGCCCAACATGAGGGTGGGTTCACAGACCTAAAACTGCTCTTGCCTACCTCCCTGGATTCCACAAGGCTGGTTGATTACAGGCGCAGTTTGAACCCGGTTGGAAGCTTGAGGGATACCCGGCAAATCACTGATGCAAAATGAGGGGGGGATATCCGAAGCTCCGTGGGTGGCCCCTTTACCCGTCCTCCGGATATGTTTGGCATGCCACAGTGAGCCCCTTTGCAACCTGTGCTTAGATCCGTGCATTAGAACACATCAGAAATAACACATAGGCCCAAGCTCATTTTAACAACTGCTTTGGCAACCCACTTTGGTTGTGTTGGAACCTTCATCATGGGGCCCAAGCTCCTTTTACCTTTAAAGCTCGATCGGTAAGCTTGTTTAGTCTTCATTTGCATCGGCCGCTTGCGCGCATATGCTGTCAGGCCTTTGCTCACCTGAGAGGCGTTCAAAACGTTCTATCTAGGTCGCAAGGAGCTCTTGCGCCGAGGTGCCCCCAAATGTCAAATGCTTATGCAGCCTCACACCGCCACAATGTGTTGTTCCTTAGGCCTATCGCAAAGCAGACTGGTTCTGAACCCTCACCTGGCCTTGCAGTCACTAACACCAATGGGAAGCCCAAGCAAAGCTTGCTCCATCTTGAATGCCTCAACTCCTCACTTGGTTGGCCAAAAAGCAAGCAAACAAACTGTGGTTTTTTCGTTTTTCCCCGAGGGTGCCGCCATGGGAACCTTTCTGACGGTCGTCTGAAACCAAGTACAGGTCTACCCACTCCCCATTCCGTCCGGGGATTCTTCTCTGCAGAAAATTGCGCAAAAGGCCGGAGAAAAGGGTGGTGTCTGAACATAATGATGTGAAGAGAATGGTGGATCAACCTCTAGTAAACCTATATTTTTACCATGGAATATCAGCCTCCCTTTGTTTGGTGATTTGAATTGGCAGTTTTTGGAGGTCGGCCGCTTTCCCTTTTAGTTTTCTCTTAAACACTTTCGTAACACCTTCCAAAAGGGACCCTTCTATACCCCAAGTCTACACGTTTTGCCACTAAACTGCCTTCCCCGAAACGGGCTCTTGAGTCCAGAAACTCGGGGGACAGCGATGTTCAACTCATTGCCAGAAGCCAACCCCCCACCAAGCCACACCACAACCCCCAGCAAACCACGCGCCAAAACTCGTCGAACGACTCTCGGATCGGATCGGATCGGATCGCCGAGCCGAGAGGCGCCGCTGTGTCGCTGCAGTCTGTTGGCTTCCAAGGGGTGAAGGTCACTGAGCTCACCTGGGTTCTGGTTGGAAACGCCCGGCAGTTGCTTTGGTTTTTTGGTCCTTTCGCCCCGGCTGGGGGCTTAACCCCGGTTGGTTGCTGGGTTGGTTGGTTGGTTGGTTGGTTGGTTGGGTGGGTGGGTGGGTGGGTGGGTGGGTGGGTGGGTGGGTTGGTCGGTCGGTTGAGTTGCTGGTTGGTTGGACCATTGGTTGGAAGGTTGGTTCCCTGCCTGCCGTGCTCAAGGTGACCGGACACTGAAAAGTTCAACCAGACTGGAACTGGAAATTCGAGCAAACATCATATGGGAGTTATTTAATCCTGAAGATGTCAACCAGCTTGTTGGCTTACCCATGGATGGTGTTCAACTTCAAGGTTTCATACTTGAGGTTCCCTTTTTGGGAAATGGGAATCTATGCAAAAGGAGCTAAGCTCGCAGCATCAAAATTGGGACCATTTAAGGAAGCGCTCACTTTGAGTGCCTTGGAGGAGTGTATCCCCATCCTTTAGATTTACATGAAACTCGATTTGGGTCTAAAAGCCGATCTTTGAAGTTTATAACCAACCACCATGAAATCAATGGGTGTTAACAAACCACCATGGAATACCTAAGGAGGTTCGTCTACATCGGCTCCTTGCCATTCTTTTCATGGGGGTTGAAGCGGGCATTTAAACCGCACTAACATGGAACTCTATGTTGGGTGCATAGCCCCACTTAGGAGGCTTATTACTTCGTTAATGTTGAACTCAAATATCCCCAAATTAGTAAAAATCAGGTTGGTTAATAGGGGGGTGTCTCTTTAAAGCGGGGAAACTTCATTTTTGGAGGGAACACCCCGTAAAAAGGATGGGTTTATTTGTCTGGGGTCAACATCAGCCAGGCCATTTCTTTGCTGTAGGGTTTCTGTAGCTGTCCTTTGAAAATAGATGACCCTGGCGGATAAAACCAATCTAAACCAGTACCCATCTATTTCTCTCCTACCCTAAAGGACACCAGTAATCTTTTTTTGAGGCTATCCGCTTTTTCATGGTTTATGAAACCAAAAGGAAAACCACCAGGCGCCGGATTCTTGGTCAGTCTCCTAAAAGACCGACCAACCCCATGGTTTTCGGATTTGTCCAGGCCACGAAGTTGGTGTCCAGCGTGAAGTCGCTGGGTTGGAAGCTCTTCCGCGACTGGGCCATGCGGCTGGGTGGTTCATGGGTCCCAAACTCTCGGACATGACTTAGAGCAATGCCCAACCACCCTCCGGTACCAGGTGGTCCCGGTTCATAACAAACATTGGGTATTGCTCACGTGGGAGGTTGTCTAGCCTGTGTTTGTTTGTCGGAAAATGGGTGGAACAGGCGGTCACATGCGGGTCTCTCTTTTGAGGATACCCTTTTCGGGGTGGTTTGAAGGGAAACTAAAGACACACTTTTCAGCCTGGGGTGCCTCAGTTGAAAATAAGCCTAGTTGCGGGGGTACCCTCCCATTCAAAAAATGCGCTGCTCGGTGGCCAAGCACTACTTAATGCAAACTGCCAATTGACCCCATGGAGGACCCATACGTATTAACAAAGTTTCCAGAGCTTCTTGCCACCAAGCCTTTTGCAACCATTCAAGATTCGCACCAACGAAACCTGTACTTTTACAAATCAAAATCGCATTGATTTGTCCAAAATACTCGCTTGCAGGGCCACCATCCAAATCAACCCAATCTCCAGTTTAAATTTCCTTCTGAAGGGTCTATGACCCCAAGTAAGCAGGTCTTTCCACATCTTTTGACAAAACAAATCTCACTTTGTCCAGGGTACAAACTGGCCGCTGGAGTGGCTGTGGAAGAAAGCAAATGAGTCACCGCCAAAAGCTGGTAGCAAAGTCTGCCCCCAAAACTCATAAAGAATCGAAAGGCTGGAAATCCGGACCTATGTAATTATGGTTGGGAGTTGGGACCCTTTCCCTTCACTGCCCAGGTTTTGACAGATTATCTCAGAGCTCCCGACCGGTGAACCTGGTAGCGGGCGTGGATTTTTCAGGGACCCACAAACCCTGCAGACCCAAAGGGGGCGGCATGGGTTCCACCCCTCCCACTCGCAGGTGTCACACCTGTGGATCAACCAGTTTCTTCCTCCGGTCAGGTCAAGCCTCAAGGCCCATTTCCACGGCGAGGCCGCGAGGTTGGGAGGCCGACCACGTTGCAAAAAGGTAATCCCGAGATGTCCGCTCGGAGTGGGTCAGTCCTATTCGAACTGAACAAGGGCCTGCTACCAACCCTGGATGACCCACACCTGGATGACCAAGGGTTCACATGGGACCCGACTGGACCAACCCTCAAAACCCGGCCTTCTTCTTGCTGGGGTCCGGCAACAGGCCGCCGTCCCCACCGCCTTGCTCCTCCTCCGCAGGCGGAGCCTCGTAGTCCATGACCCCTGCCGCGCCGCTGGCACAAGCGAACGGGCGATTTGTTTTGAGAAAACCGCTGGCATCGTCCAACGGCCAGATGGCCCTGTTTGGACCTGGCACTCTTTTTGTTTCTTTTTTTTTCTGGGGGCCATTCTTCTACTCATTTCCGTGAGCGCGCCGAGCGCGGCGCGTTTTGGAGCTGAACAATGTGAAAACTTGGAGTCCCTGAGCTACCCTGAAGTTAGGGACCCTACCACACCCCTTAAAGGGCAACTTGCTTGGCAAATTGAGGCTGATGTTCACCTTTTGGCCCATCATTATGGTATCAAAGTCACACCTCAAGTGGTGGGCTAAAGGCAAACACTCCCAATTTCGAGCCTGATGCCCTCTAGAAACATTGTGAGCCTTTGAGTAAGGGGTCTTTGAGCTTCTAGCATTTATTTGGGTCTTTGCGGGGTGGGGCTTTCTACGTGGGGCCAGGGGATCCTCTGGGAAATGGCCCGAACCAGTATTTGGAAGCAGCAGCAGAGTGGGTGTAGACTCTGGGTGTAATACTAGACATTCTTGGATAGAAAGTACATCAGGAACATGCATGCGCTAAGAACTCTTACCGACACTTCGTATTTCTGGGAAGTACCTGCAACAAACGGCCCAACTCTGGAATACACCAAAAACAATCATCCTCAGCTACAATATCAAAACAATTGGAGGAGGCCCCAGTTTAAGTGGATTGCACCAAATGGTGGTGGATAGATGCTTAATCCTACTCGGTACTTGGACACCCTGGCAACCTTCAGAAAACAACTGCCAACCGGCATGAGGATCAACAACTGAGTTTGAACAACCAGGTACTTCTGCCAAGTGAAATGCTTGAAACGTCTTGGTTGCTGTTGACCCCCCTGCGAAAAGTTTAACATCTTTTTTCTTTTTCTTTCTTCTTATTTTTTTTTTGGGGGGGGGGGGTTGGTGGAAAACACCTTGATTTCCCAAAAAGTTAAAGTCTAAAGATCCAACTCAATAGCAGTCAAGACGCTGGATTTCGGAGGGGTACACTAAAGTGGAAGCAGATGCAACTATTCCCTTGTCCAGAAGAGGATTGTAAAATCTAAATGGCGAGGTTGTGCCATCTAATTTCACCCAACTGTAAGGTAAATCAAAGGTACTGGGAATTCACTGACCGAACATAAGGGATCCCAATAAAAGACACCTTCATCACAGCCCCTTGTGGGAAATAACCTGAAATTCGTGATACTCACCTTGTTTCTTATCACTTTCACTAAAATCCCACTTCCCACAACCAGGTCAGTGCCCCGTGTCGGAATGCTGTTATTTCTGTACGCACCCGAGCCTTTGCCCTCGTACTCACCATTCAGCGGCGCATTCGGGGACACCTGCAACAAACCACAGGCGTCGGACACGTATGCATATACCAAGGGCTTCAGCTTTGTGAGTTGCCCAAGCTTAAGGCAAACGAGTGTGTCTCAAAATCAGGGAACCCCCCAAAATAGGTGGTTTCCTTCTGGCTTTCCTTGAAACCAACCCACGCGGGGCACCAAATAAGGAGCGACACCCCGTGTCGTGTCTTGGGTAGGAGCCGGAAGGTGAGCGGAGGCTCACCGGCCGACCAAACCTGACGGCGCAAGATAGAAAATTGGTGGAAAAGGAAGCCCAGGATTGCGGGAGCTTGACCCTATGCTCAACCTATAGGACTGAAATCTTTATTAGCACCACCTTAGCAGGAAGATATAAGGGGCCAGACGTTGATGGGAATATCAGCTCTGCGATGAGCCTTCCGAACGAATTCTTGGAGGTTGCTCAGGACAGCGTTTCCCAACTCCGGACCAAAAAACTACCCGGGGTTGGGTGGCCATTGCCCCCGCCCCCAAAAAAACGGTCATGCTTAGACAATCACATTTCCCGAACCAATGAAAGGCTAAACAAATCTAAGGCACATGTCCTCACCAATGAAAGGTCAAACAAATCCCAATGCCCATGGTTTGCAAAATGGTTCCATCAGGTCCTAAACGGCAATTTTTTGAGAAGCCCTCAAACGAAAAAACCACTTTGTACCAGTTGTCCCCGGCAGGTTGGGGGCAGAATTCCCGTTTAGCCTTATGGAGGGGGGGGGGTCGGGCAAACCCCTTCTTTGAGCACTTTTGAAGACCAATGCTGTTCAGGTAACTTGTCTAGGGGTTGATTCCCCATTCTTTTCGACCATCGTTCCTTTCAAAAACCAGCTGTTTTCCCCCGGGTTTTGGGTGGTTTTGTAGAAAGACTCGGATGCCTGGAAAAATGGAAATGGAAGGTACCCCTAGAACTTTGGGTTCTTGGCCCGTCAGCTGTACGGTCGCTCTCGCCGCACCAGACCCGTTCGCTCGCCTGGAAGGCCGCGTTGGGCTCTTTGGGCAGCTCGATGGGGTGCGCCACCCCATGGGCCACGCAAATGCCTGGCTAAGGGGTCCGCCCTTTTTGTAAATGATGGTTTGCAACCTGGTTGCTGTTGACCCCCCTGCAAAAAGTTTAACTTTTGGGGGGTTTAGTGGAAAACACCTGGATTCCCCAAAAAGTTAAAGTCTGCAGATCCAACCCAATAGCAGTCACGCGAGGGGTCCGGCCCTTTTTTCTTTGTGGTTTGCAAGGGAACGGAACAAGGAACAACTTTGGCCACGCTTGCTTCGATTCCCCCTGCACGCAGAGGTGGACAAGTCCATGTCAACCCACAACCGTCTGGCCAACCAAACATAAGGAATCTCTATGAAAGAAACCTTCACTTTGGGTGATGTCAGCATGAGGAATCACTATGAAAGAAGCCTTCACTTTGGGTGATGTTGCAAAACCCCCGGAATGTGACGCTATAATTTGCACCGGATCGCAAGGGTAATATACAGCCCTGAATCATGAGAAAACCACAAGCTTTTGAGGGCCCCCCTATGGCGGATGGACAAAATCCTGCATTGCAATAAAACTCTATGATTGGTGCGAGAAAGTGCCTACCAACTGGTGCATGTCAATCCACGGTATGTTGACACATACCCAGCTGGGGTTATGGGGTTCTTAAACCAAATTACCTCAGGATCATGGAAAAGTAATGCTCGTCGTAACTAATTGTTCAGCCCCTTACACTTGTCAAGACTCTCATTGGACAGAAATTGACAATTCCCACAACCCTGAGCTCGACCATACCCCTTTTTTAGGGACCCCACGAATGAGGGGATCCTTTTTTGCGGGGGGAGGGGGAGGGGAAGGGGGGGGGGGGTTGTTGGGCAGTGGAATAATCCCAAGGGGTCGCTGAAGGCCACATGGCCTACACGTGGGTCGTTCTTGCTTGTTCTCAGTGGAAGCAACCGCAGTTTTCTGAATGAACTCAAACATTTAGGATCTGCCCACAAAATCTTCAAGAAAAGCCACCAGTTGCATGGACCACGGGGTTATTCCTGATTTCATTCCCTGCCTATCGAACCAGCAACATATGAAACCAACAACGCCTTGAAAATTAGTAGGCTCCCTATCACACAAGCAGGGTTCAGCCGGATTTCGCGACTCGGAAGAGGTCGCGACACGTTAAAACGCTGCCTGCCACACACCACTCCCCGGCGTGCATGTCGTACTGAAGCAGGTTCCCACTGGCAGCACCAGCGGAGCTCTGGTAGGACATGTCCTCGGGAAAGGCACAAAGCCAAAGGATGTTCATGTCTTTTCTGTATTTGATCGTAAAGGGATTGCCTTCCAAAGAAAGGGAAACGAGGTTCGCAACCCTGGGGTTGATGAGTCTCACCCTGCTAGGGTCGGAGCACCAATGCGGAGCTCCGGGCAGTGAGCCTTTGGACGAAGGCCTAGAGACCCCCACTTCATTCTCAACTCCCCAACACTTCTTGGGGATATACCGACTATATGGTATTATAGGTGTGAGACTTTGCAAACCTTGGGCTTCATATACATGGGGACTTGTGTCCACCGACTATTGAGGAAGCTGCGCGCTGAAATCTGCGGCGAGCTATTCACGAGCTGTCCTATGGTTAAGGGCCAATGGGTTCCCTCCCCACATAGGGGCTGACAGCGACCCCAGGCCTAGCGACCAATAGGGTCACTGTTGGGGTGGCCTCTGATGTGAAAATCGCCCACCCCCAGTGGCCATGGGCAAAAGGCGCCGTTTTTGGTTGCCGATCTTAAAGGGAACCTTCAACCCACTGGGTGTCTGGGCGGTTGCATCACTTTGCGGACACGGGTACATGCCTACTGCCTGGTTCTTGAGGCTGAATGGGAAATCACCCCCTGAACGTCTCCAAACCATTTACGTGGAAGGTGAACTGGATAAAAACTGGATCCCATTTGGGTATGTCTTGTGGAGGTGCCCTTTTGGAGTCGTGTAAAACGGAAACCAAAAGAGAGCCACCCATTTTTGGGTTCACCATTTTTGAGACAATCCCATTTGGCTTCACTCTTGGCATGGTGTCAAGTCTGTCTTTTTGGCCTCTCTGCATTTTGGGGGCTGCAAAGAACAAAGCTCTGTTTCGAACATACCAAGGGTCGGAAAGTTGAACGCTTTTTCCAAGGAGGGGAAGAATGCAACGCCGGGTGCTCTTTCATTTCAGATGCTTTTGTGAAAATCAACTGGTTGCTGGAATATACTCAGTCGAAGACGGCGTCCGAGGATCTTAGGGGTTTCCTAACTGGGGCCTCTTTCGATTTTTTATGCTGCATGTTGAGCTTCACTAAGTCACTAAGTATGGACCACAGTCAAACAATCACATTCTTGGTCGTTAGCGAAAGCTGAGGTACACACGAAACATGAGACCCAATCGAAACATGAGTATATGTATATACAAATATACATGGCACGGCTGGTCTTTGTTGTGACCTTGGCCTCGTTGACCCTGTGGAAACAAATGACTTCTCCATTAAAAGCAAAAGACTGAACCTTTCGCTCATGGGGCTTGAGCAACTGAGATATACCTTAGGTGTATGTTGTTCTTGTCATTGCGAGTGCTGCAAAGAACAAAGCCCGGGTCCATGTAAATTTCGGAGTGGCCCCAAGCAACCACCAATCACCAAGAAGGATATCGTAACTAAAAAGATGTGTCAAAGGGGGACCCTTCGCACATGGCGATGTCTGAAACCCGAAACCCGATTTGTCAGAGGCTGCCCCCAATTGGATTTGTCTTATGAAGAATAAGAACACCGCGCACAAGGGTACCGCGCCTCCAAAACAGTGACACGCCCAGTCTGGAGATCCCTCTGTCCTGTTGCAAGGTGCGTGCCACTAGGAGAACATAAAGAATTAGTCAGAACCAAGCAGGGCGGCTCGTCTTCTTGGTGGGGGTCCTTTTTTCTCGGGTTTTGCGCAGGGAAACCAACAGGAAAACCGGTGACCGCTATTTTGGGGGGGATTTCCAACCTTCAAAAAAACCACACCCAAAACCAGAAGATCGGTTTGGGGGGTGTTTAACCACACCCAAAATGGCTTGAAAGAGGTTTGCTATGCCATAGCTGCCATGCCATGGCTGGGGCGAACTTCCGCGCCTGGCTGAAGGTCAATCGGCCCTCCACAGAGCCATGGGGGCAATAGCCTCCCTCCCAGGCGTCCTGGGCGAACAGACCCAAAACAGGGAGGGGGCCGAGTCTGGGGGGGGCCGGATGCACTTTTGGCCCACACAAACGGGTCAGACAGATTTGAGTCTGCTTCATGTGTGGTCTCAGCAGCACCTGGCTACACCAAGGAGGCTTACCAACCTAAAGTCCCCAAACTGGAGTTGAGGAAGCACCTTGAGGACCATCATCTTCCTTCGCTAGATTCCTAGCAAGTCTAGGAAACGATTTCGATGTGGTTTTTGTGGATCCACCCCTGTAGGGTAATAAAAGAGTACCAAAAGATGACTAAAAAAGAACCTACAGGGGGAAGAGCATGTGAAATTCGCCAACAAGGCATCCAAACCATTTTCTAGACTAAGCTTCACTTCGCCGGACTTGGGTTGTGGCGCATGTGCACAAATAGGGGGAACCCCAAAGCACGGTGCTTCTTCCTTCTGGCTTTCCCTTCTAACCGCCAAAACCGGCGGAATCCTCCAAAACCCGCGCGCGGAAGCGTCCGATCCCTTCGATCCCTTCGGCTCTTCGGCTCAGGCACGAAGCTGCCGGCGAGGCTGCTGGTCTGCACCACCGAGATGGGCAGAGCCACCGGCACCGTGCCTCAGTGGATCGAGCGTCCATCCATTTCTGCGCGCATGCCGTGGCTTATTTTGAAGGGACCTTGGGGCGGCTGATTCAAGGGGGGTTCCCCGGTCTTTGTCCCAAGGTGTGCTTTATTCCAAAGGGGGTTCCCCCTCCAAACAAACTATCTATATAGATAGTTGATGATTCCCCATATTCGTGTCAAAAGGGCAACCCATCCTACGCGTTGAAAGCCGAAAGCCGCGGTGCAGCAGGCGTAGATGTAGCGGATCTCGCCGCGGCCCGGGTTGCTCACCGGCACCTGGCAAAGTGGCCTTCGAGAGCCTCTTCGACGGGCGCAAATGCGTGGCAAATGGCCAGGGCTTGGTTGGGGAAGCTTCCGCTTCCCCATTCTTTCCAGTGATCCTTCTTGTCAGGAAACCAACAAAACGCAGGGGCAACACCTGGTTCTTGAGAAGAACGATGGTTCAAAAGAATGGGGAATCAACCGGTAGATTGGTGTCCCTGTACCCGCCCACCGAACCTGACATGGAACCTAACAGGGGGTCCCTCTAAAAGGGAAATGGTCCAAACCAGGACCCGTCTGATTGGTGTCCCTCTAAATACCAATCCTTGAAGGGCTCTGAATTGAGAAGCTCGATCAGGTCAAATGAGCTGCCGAATCGGCCAAGAATTGCGCATGTGTGGCAAATTCAACCAAGGCTTGACCTCAGCTTACTAATACGTGTCCTCCAGGCCAAACAGTTCAAGCCCGCTCTGGGCCATTTCTTCGGCCGGGCCTTCTTCACCTCTTTTGGGGTTTGGTCTGCACAAAACCATCTGAAGACTTAAGATGACGGCCGCATGTCTGCCTGGTTGGGACTATCTCGTAAGGTTCATCTGCTGGGATTTCGATTGTGACTCATTTGGGCGTGAGCGGTTTTGAGGGTGCCCTTCTTTTGTGGGCAAAGAAACCCCACAGCCTTCAGCTCTTGGGGGAAACAAACAGAACAAGGCCCTCCTCCATATCCGAATTACTGTTCACAAACGGCTTTCTATCAATGTTTACTTTTTCAGCGGAAATTGTTGTGTTGGACAACCACCACATGTAAGCCGTTGTTTCAGGCACGTTCCCGTGAATGGGATCCTAGTTGATTAGGCAGAACCCGTTCATTGTGTTTGTGTTTAACAATGAAACTACAGAATGCGCCATACTTGGTCTACCCAAACATCCGAATAATTGCAGGCTCCAAAAGTCATTCGAGCCCTCCACAAAAAAGGGACATGCCTCATCTATTAGTCAATCACCCTAAGGCTCCTGACCCCTCCAATGTGGATGTTCGGGCCCTTCAATGAAAACCCCCGACCCGGGTCTTTAAGCATAGCTCATGTTGAGGGCTCCAAAACCACCGGGAGCCGAAAATTGAAGATCAACAATGAAAAAAAGAAAAAGCGCAGGCAACCTTGGGTGAGTTAAAACTCTCGCCAAAACCCTTGCCCGTTCTTTATAGACCTTGGGTTGAACGTCAAGTTGAACTCTCGCCAAAACTCGAGCTTTGCGCGCTCAATAAAAAAACGGTTCAACCTTGGGTTCTACAGAGACCCCTTGGGTTCCGAGAGTTTCTCGACGAGTCGCCGAGAAAAAAACAAAAAACGGCCTTGGAGTCCAGCACGAAGCCACGCATGGCTTCCCCCTGCTCGCAGGCCATGGAGTGCCCCGACAAATGCCTTCGAACGACGTGAAGACGAGCAGTCGAAGTTGGGGCAGGTGTGGAAT